AAACATGAACAATCTCAATCTAAAAACTAAATATTGGACCATTTATTGTCATTAATATTGTCTTAATTATCAGTATTTTTAAGTTTAACACCAACTAATAACCCTAATCCTAATCCCAACTACATATATATTTAATTATATATAGCTAGCCCCACAAAAATCATTAGTTAAAACTTTCAAATAGACTAAATATTGACGAACCAAAGTCCCAGACCAGAGTAGAGTGCGGTAGCATTGCTAACACAACACTAGCATTGCTAACACAACACTAGCATTGCTAATACAACACTAGCATTGCTAATACAACACTAGCTAACCTCATATCCAGTTAAAACTCACATTATCCAGGTTTATTGTCTCTTTTCATAATGAAGTTAAATGACACTAGCTTTATCTCATGTCCATAAACTCTGCTGCTTAGATTAGATTAGATTCAACTTTATTGTCATTAAAAAGTCAGAACACAACAGAGTGCAGGTTAGCGTCTGACCAGTGCAATAGTGAAAGTATAGGATCATATTTACAACAGATATTAGTTATATTTGTATCTCTGTGAGACGGTCCAAGCCGCTATTGCTAATGTATACATTAATTATTAAGTCTCTGAGCTCTGCAGACTCGGCTAACTCTGTCTTCATCAGGAGTATCTCTCACACTAGCACGGCTCGGTCTGGGACTAATGTCAGACTTTCCTTCCCTTGATGAGATGGTCTGTGCCAAAGTCCTTCTTGCACCACACAGATGTAAATATTTAGCAGCTGAGATGGTTCAAAGCTGCGGGTCACATCACAGCCGTCAATCATACACTGGACTGGATCTCCTCGTCTCACTCAAAGCACTACTTTGGCCTAAATAAGTTTCTTTAAAGGAGCAGTGTGTAAACATGTGGCCAAAAGTGGTACTGCAGCCTCTCCCACTGTCCCTGACTCAGGTTGCCAGATATGCAGACGAATCCAGCTGGGACCATAACAGCTGAATAGACAGAGTTTTGTCAACAACAAATCTATAACCAACACCTTTTTCACAAAGATAGAAATCCTGGTTTTGTCGTTAATGATTTGAGAATCATAACGAGACCTTTTTTATGAGGAAATGCAAAAATAACAAATGCATGGAATTAATTTGTCCAGACGGAGCACGATGTCAAATGTCCTTAAATGTCTCAGATCGTCCTGGACTGTCCTTAGACCTTTTTAAGGGTATCATTCAGATATAGTTATTTTACACTGCAAAAATGTATTTCCTAACCAAGTCACACCGACTTAAATTAAGAACATTAATCTTTGAAGTTTCCACTTAAGCCCCGTTCTTGTTAAGATAATTTGACTTGTTTTAAGTTATTCTTTCCAGAGCCATGTTTCATAGGCATTATTTCTTATTTTAAGTAGATTTGGTACAAAATCCAGTTCTACCACTCATGCAAATGCTAAAACCAGTCAATAATGGTAGACACAAGACATTTTTGCTAGTTTAAAGATTTAGTCTTGTTGAGGCTGTTCTATAGCAAAAGCATTGCAGGAAGTGTTCCATTATGTCAACAACAACCAAATGAGCAGCACGTTGTATGTTTGAATCACTGAATTATTATGGATCAATGAGGAATGAGGAGACTTAATAAAACATTTCACCATAGCTTTTACATAGTATTATAGTGTGAAATGTGAAAAATGCTCAAAAATCTATAATAAAAAAATCTATAATAACCAGATGGAATATCACACTGAGATGGGACTGAGGTAAAAACAGCAATTCTTACATAATAACTTGACACAATACGTCCCCTTTAAATGCAATACAAATGCTAGGTTGCAATAGACAGCGTGGTGTTAGACAGATAGATAGATAGATAGATAGATAGATAGATAGATAGATAGATAGATAGATAGATAGATAGATAGACAGTTAGACAGATAGATAGACAGACAGATAGATAGATAGATAGATTCTGTATTGTTAGTACCAACAGCCTTTTTGACAGAGAATAAGTCGGTGCTATAGTGATTGAGCATCTGTCTCTGAACCAAATCACAACCACATGTTTTCAGGGTAATCCACATCCAGCCTGACATGTGTAGGTGAGTCTCCTTTAAACACACAGTAACAACCAGGAGAGGAGACTGTGGGACCAGAGACAGTAACAACCAGGAGAGGAGACTGTGGGACCAGAGACAGTAACAACCAGGAGAGGAGACTGTGGGACCAGAGACAGTAACAACCAGGAGAGGAGACTGTGGGACCAGAGACAGTAACAACCAGGAGAGGAGACTGTGGGACCAGAGACAGTAACAACCAGGAGAGGAGACTGTGGGACCAGAGACAGTAACAACCAGGAGAGGAGACTGTGGGACCAGAGACAGTAACAACCAGGAGAGGAGACTGTGGGACCAGAGACAGTAACAACCATGAACGGAGAATGTGGGACCAGAGACAGTAAATAACATGTGCCATTTGTCCACAGTGCCACGCGTATACGCACTTGCAAACACAGCTAGATAAGCATTGGTAACAGCAGGAAACTCACAGTGCAAAGTTAAAAACCTCTGTCAGATACGGCTGGTCACAGACACGTCATACTTCTATAGTTTTGAATGATTATAAACTCAAACGGTAAGTTCTGGTGCGATCGCGTCTCTGTGCGTGTCTAAACTTCGCTTTGAAACGCCTCCAAACACATCTCCACGTGAATAAAAGCAACACCAACCTGTTCTGCTCTCTCGGTCCATCCACTGAACGCGGTGTGGAAGCTCAGGACAGATCCGCTGCTCCTCCGTGACTGTGCGTAAAGACGGAGCGGCTGCGTGTGTCCTGCGCTCCTGGCTGCGATGTCACAACTGTGGAGAGGCGCACCGTGGAGAGAGTGAGGGAGGGAGGGGAGGGGAGGGGAGGTGGAGAGCAACAGAGAGAGAGAGAGAGAGAGAGAGGAGGAGGAGGAGGGAATGGGAGACAGAGAGAGAGATATTTATATTTTTACCAGACCGTTATTGTGTCTATTTAAAGAGTTTGTGCTACAGTGTGTGCAAAAGTGCAGAGCAAATCCTACAGAGTTTATGTGTGAGAGAGAGAGAGAGAGAGAGGGGGGGAGAGACAAAAAGAGGGAGAGAATGCAAAGGGGGGTTGGGGGTGTCGGGCAGGTACGGGACCAAGGCAGGCCGTGTAAACTGACTCCTGTCTCCTCTGCAAGAAGAGTGTGTGTGTGTGTGTGTGTGTCTGTGTGTGTGTGTCTGTGTATGTGAGTGTGTGTGTGTGTGTGTCTGTGTATGTGAGTGCGTGTGTGTGTGTGTCTGTGTATGTGAGTGCGTGTGTGTGTGTCTATGTATGTGAGTGTGTGTGTGTGTCTATGTATGTGTGTGTGTGTGTGTCTATGTATGTGAGTGCGTGTGTGTCTATGTATGTGAGTGCGTGTGTGTGTCTATGTATGTGAGTGCGTGTGTCTGTGTATGTGTATGTGTGCGTGTGTGTATATGTGTGTCTGTGCATGTGTGTGTGTATATATGTGTGTGAGTACGTGTATGTGTGTGTGTGTGTGTGTATATGTGTGTGTATATTTGTGTGTACTGGGGAAGGGAGGACCCACGTGGAGAGGAGAGTTTATTTGATCTCTGTGGTATAAATGTTTACAGTTTGGAGAGTGGCGCTGGCTGTGACCTCATCACGTGACGCTGTGTGTCTGTGACGTACGGGAGAGCTCAATCACATGGTAATGGTTTTAATTTATTTATTTGAGAAAGGAGGAACAATACATATTAATGAAAATTTTCACAAATGTAAATATGCCAGATTATAGCTTTAGGCTAATTTCCGTCTGCAGACCCCCTGCAGGTGTTACACACACGTGAGTAGAAACATACAGAGACACTATTTATAAAGTCTGGTCTTATCCATCCGTACTCTCCGCTCAATCATCATGTCCTGCAGGTAACGTCTGGGTCTGGTCCCTGTGTTTGTGATTACAATCGGTTGAATTTCGACCGACCAATCAGAGAGCGCGGGAGACGGGTGTTGTAGTACAAGAGTTTGCGTCGAACGGACAGGTTGTAGTTTGGCGGACAGCGGTTTCAGTCGAGTGAAGAGATCGAAATCTGAATTGCACAGGGTGCGGACCCGGATTGGAATCATTAAGATATTCGATAGTAGAATTGGCAACCCATTTTTCTGCTATCTTTGAGAAGATAGGCAGTATGCTAATAGGTCGATAATCAGCAGGGTCTGATTTATCACCTGATTTATAGATTGGTATCACTTTTGCCACCTTCCAGCTCAGAGGAACTGCTTAGTTGATAAATTAATCAGATGGGTCACAGGCACCAAAAAACAAGATTTATAATGCTTCACAAAATTGGTATCAAATCCAAACTCATCTCTTGCTTTAGAACTTTTTAATTTAGAGATTAATAGAGATTACTTCATTTTCTGAAATGTTTTGACTTTTGAGTTGGGGCCTCCATATGGGGGTTGGTATTGTCTGTTTACCCTCACTGTTGATCCAAGGCAAGGAATAGAGTCGTTTCTTTAAATGACCTCTTTCTGAAACTGACAGAACACAGAGATAGATAGATCACAACATGTATCAGTGTCATCACAGAATAGTATGCTCGACCAATCAGCAGCAGTTAAATGTTGTTCTTGGCTCTTTGGAATAAAAAGTTGTTTAATATTATTGCTTTTACTGACACTTCTCAGTCTGTTTTTAGTCAACTTTCTAGAGAAGAATATGGCATTGTGGTCAGACACGACTCTGTCCATTGCACCCTATCATCTGTAGTGCATTTAAAGGGGACGTATTGTGTCAAATCGTTATGTAAGAATTTCTGTTTTTCCTCAGTGTATGTGACGTGGGATATCGCATCTGGTTAAAAAGACGTTACTTGGTCTTTTAAACCAGACAGAACATCTGGTTTGGTGACATCGGTCTGTAAAAATGCGCTATTAAGACAAACAGAAACTCACCAAATAAGTTATTTTGCTTTTTTTTAATGCTGACAATGCCCTGATGCTCTGCTTTATTGTTGTTGCTCCGGGTCCCGCTGAGTCACGAAGGTTTCCCTGTGAGGAGCCTTTCTGGACCATATTTTTAGCTCTACATGATCTTTCTCTGGTCTCGCCGTGGCTAGCGTGTCCGTGTGTTTGCTTCTGTCTTTGCAGTAGGACTTCATGCTAATTTTCTCGTGAATTCTCTCATTTTCCTTCTGCAGTCTGTCCCTTTGTGCCGTACACATTTCCAGTTCCGCTTTGAGGACTTTGATTGTGTCGCTCTGCTTCCGAATCGTGCTGTGTAGCTCTGGGATCCTTTGCGCGTCCTTGATCTTACTCAGTTGATCCATTTGGGCGTCCACAGGGGTCGGGCATTGGACCAGCTGTGTTTCAGGCCGTCCGGGAGGCTTCGTGGTCTCAGGTTTTGGCTTCCACTTCTGCCGGAGTCTCTCTCTCAGCTCTAAATTCTCTCGCAGCAGCTGTTTGTCGGTGAGAGTCTTCGGCAGTCCGCTCAGGTTGGGGATGGGGTAGTTCTTTAACTTTTCATTAATACAGTTTGCCTGCATTAACTGGGTTTCCAGATCGGTCGTCTTGGATTTCTCGTTTTTAAGCTCATTCTCGAGATTGACGAGTTTCTGCCTGAGATCTGTGACCACGACACGGCTTTGCTCCTCCGCCTCCTTGAACACTTTCTGCTCTAGCTTCTTCCCTTGGAGCTCGTTCAAGTGTATAATGTGGTTTAACTTGTCTATTTTCCCTTCGAACATGTCCTTGATGTCCTTTTGCTCGTGACACCTGTACGCGGTCTGCTCTTTCAAAGCGTTGTACGACTCTAACAGTAAGCTGTACTTCTTTTCGGCCAGATTGAGGTTTTCCTGGAGCTTTGCTGAGTGCGCCCTCTCCCTCAGGACTTGGTGGTACGAGGCCTCGATCTTCTTCAGTTCCCTGATGGTGCTGCGTAGTGCTTCGTTCTCGTTCAGGAACTGCTCTTCCGAGGCCCTGACCGCCTGTACTTCCTCCTGAGTCGTTCTCAGGTCTCGACTCGCATGTTGCAGTGAAATTACCTTTCTGTGCAGGTAGTTTACCTCTCTGTAAATATCCATGGTCTTTTTGGATTTTGTGGTAAACTGCGGTGTCAGACTTTGTGAAACTCTCACTATTGAAGTACAAGAGACTGGCTTTAGCGCACGGTGCTAGCTTAAACCCGGAGCCGTGCGGTGGTCGGCCTCGGCTCTAACACACAAGTCCGGGACCAGAGGGACCTAAGTCACCACAAACTGCTACAAATTCTGGAATTCTGAAGGTGTTCCGTTGTCGACATCACTTGATTGAACCCTGACAACCGTTGTCGTGGCAACAGAATCCACATATTTAAGCTTGAGTTGTCTATCAGTCACTGTCAATCAATCTGGTGACATGTGCTTGTCCAATCAGACCAGAGGGTTTAGTTCAAAAAGTGGAAAGGGCGGTTCTTTCCTAAAATTTGGGAAAAATCCTCCTTTAAACCTATGACTTTCCCACGGATCCTTGAAGAGGACATCGCACAATCCGAAAATGCAGAATAAAGAAGTAAAAATACATATAAGTCGCATTTTTCAACAGCTTGTGGGTTTTTACGACCAAAATACATTTGCTTAAACAAAGAGAACACTGAAAATTGCTCTTCAGCTCAGCAGCTTAATCCCTCAATTTAGCCCGAGCATTTTTTTATATTTTACGGTAAATAAAATATAAAATGTAATAATTTCACACATAAATTGCTCCACAGCATAAACCACACCTTCGGCCAAACTATGACAAAAACCGCAATTTATAATCTGAAAAATACAGCATGTTTTGATCCCTGTACTTTCCTGTGGATTATTAGAAACAGGCTTGCAGCGTTCCCTTTTGACCAGCAGGGGGCGCTACACCAGACTGTATGCCACTGTAGTAGATATTGTTATGACTTGTGATCTGGAAACTGGACTAAAATGCTTAATGCTCCATATCCATGATCTCATCCCAGGTTTAAAACATATTCATCTGTGTTTCTAGTGCTTAACTTAATGAATTAGCGGTCGTTAGATTGACGAGATTAGCCCAGACCAGTCCAGGTTAGATTGACGTGCACTTCACACCTGAGTCAGATTAACAGCTCAATCTGACTCTTCTTTTGTTTTGCTAATACTGAACACAATGTTTTTAAATGACATAATATTGTTTTCTGTCGATGATTGACAATTATACATGAGCTACACTGCAAAAAATTATGAATTATGAAGTAATGAATTCTGTAATTAAGTGTTTTTATCTTAATCTGATTTAAAACATAAAATCTGGTTCAAAACAACATCAGACGTGTATTTGACTTTCTGTTTCAAAACTGCAGAACGGACAAAATGGGCGGGACGGTGGCTGAGTGGTTAGCACTCTCAGCAAGAAGGTCCTGGGTTCGAATCCTTTCCCCTAGCACTAAAAACATGCACAATAGGTCTGAATGTAGATGAGAGAGTGAATGGATGGTGTTGGGTCAGAGGCTTTGATGGTCCAGTGTGTTCTGGACTCGCTTCTGTCATCACCGTGTGTGGAAGGATTGGAACAATATCTGACTCTGAACATTGGAAAGTGCTTTGGGTCTGTACCTTGGTCTGTAACATGTGCTATATAAATAAACATTACTTACTTACAACTGAAAATGTAAATCTTTGGGTGAGTTTAAAAAGCTGGTGTTAGCATTGGACCCTCGTTTGTCGCATTAGCTGCAGCTCTACAGTCGGTCGGTTTTGTTTACGTCTAAAACCACAAGAAAAAAATGCATTGCTTTTTTGTTAAATTAAAAAATCTTTAACATTTCTGAAACTTTTTTAGCTGTTAAAATAATCTATGGGCTGGAAACAAGAGAGAGGTCGATCGTTCGCTACAAGTAATCCCATACCCATGCCAACCCACCTACCCACAATGCCGTGCGGTCAAACCGACCAATTTTTCACAACGACAATATTATTTCTATATATCTGTACTTCAACCCAATTGTGTGATTTAAATTTCTTTTGATAAAATCCACAATAAGGTTTTTTTTTGACCAGACACAAAACACTTCAACTCAAGGCTCTTGTTTTCTCAGACACATGGAAGCTTCTGATTCTGTGATCGCGGCCTTTTCCATCCAAGAAGAAGCCGAGTCCAGTGAGAAATCTGTATTTACACAAGACCAGGGCCACAGAGGACTTCACACAGGACTAGAAAAGGTCCAAGTGGTCACACATGGTTCTGTTTATGGTAGAAATGGTCAGATTTGCTTTGATTGGAGTAGTTCCTGTATTCACCTGTTTCCACTGCGGGGCCGATGAAGTCAGATATGGTTCCATTCTCTCTTTGCGGTGATGACATTGGATCAAAGCCCGGACCAAAACGAACCATTCTCTCGTTACATTCAGATTTCAAACCTATTTTGCATGTTTTTAGTGGTAGGAAAAACCGGAGCACCTGGAGGAAACCTACACAGACACGGGGTTCGAACGCTACGGGCAGCACGGTGGCTGAGTGGTTAGCACTCTCGCTTCTCAGCAAGAAGGTCCTGGGTTTGACTCCTGGTCGGAACAGGGCCTTTCTGAGTGGGGTTTGCATGTTCTCCCTGTGTCTGCTCCGGTTTCCTCCGGGTGCTCCGGTTTCCCCTACCACTAAAAACATGTACAATAGGTCTGTGTCTCCTGTACTGGCCTCTGGTCTGAGAAAGGCGCCATATAAATAAATATGACTTACTTACTTCACTCTGAAAGGCACTGTTTCGACCGGGATTCGAACCCAAGAAGGATATCTCTTAATACACACTGGTTGAGAACACCAGATTTATAAATTGGTGTTTGAACCAATAAGATCCCTTTGGACCCAACCCAAAAACTGGTGATTTTTTATTTTGGTTAAAAATAAAGTACGATCCTGTCAGACCTCCCGAAGCTAAGCAGGACAGGGCCTGGTTAGTGCTGTGATGGGAGACCTCTGGGAACAGCAGGTGCCACAGTGGGGCGGCTGTGGCTGTAAAACCGGTTATAATCATCTATGTTCTCAGGAAAACAACCAAATGTGACGTATTCTAACATTTTAACCCAAAAACACATCATTAGAAGTTTAATAGTTCAATATAAAATGTGTTTAACTTTATATTTGATCCAGTTTTGGTTCAATATAAACCATAAACAGAAAAATTAACCAGAGAATAACTCATGTCACATTAAAGTCACGTTAAAATATCCTCATAATGTAAAAAGAGAAGACCAGGAAATCTCTTCTCTTGTTTCGGGCCCGACCAACATGAGTTCGATGCCCCTGCACTAGTTCTTCAAAAACAGTAAACACAGAACAAGAATCACACACAGCTGAAACCAAACGCTGAAAATAGAGGGATCACATTCTCTCCGTCCACATCTGGGACCCTCGCAGCGGTAACAAAACCCCCTCGTGACTTTTGACCTCTGACCTCAGCCACTTCCTGCGGCCGTGAGGTGCCGAGCGGCGCTAGCCTCGTTTAGCGTCAGTTTTGACCCCGCGCAGCACCCGTAGCTCCGCCGGCCTCCGCTGCCGTGGGCTTCTGTGTGGTTTAACAGCAGCAGGTGCAAATGGTTCCATACCCTTCAGCTGTCTCCAAACATGACCCAGATCTGAGGCCACCGCGATAATGACCACGGGTCAGAGCCAGAAACACACGTTCAGGTTGCTGTTTCCAGTGATGTCGGCTAGGCTAATTCCCACTGGGCTAATGCTACTGGGCTAATGCTGCAGGACTAATGCTGCAGGGCTAATGCTGCAGGGCTAATGCTGCTGGGCTAATGCTACTGGGCTAATGCTACTAGGCTAATGCTGCAGGGCTAATGCTGCTGGGCTAATGCTACTGGGCTAATGCTACTAGGCTAATGCTACTGGGCTAATGCTGCAGGGCTAATGCTGCAGGGCTAATGCTGCTGGGCTAATGCTACTGGGCTAATGCTACTGGGCTAATGCTACTAGGCTAATGCTACTGGGCTAATGCTGCAGGGCTAATGCTGCAGGGCTAATGCTGCAGGGCTAATGCTACTGGGCTAATGCTACTGGGCTAATGCTGCTAGGCTAAAGCTACTGGGCTAATGCTGCTAGGCTAATGCTACTGGGCTAATGCTGCAGGACTAATGCTGCAGGGCTAATGCTGCAGGGCTAATGCTACTGGGCTAATGCTGCAGGACTAATGCTGCAGGGCTAATGCTGCAGGGCTAATGCTGCTGGGCTAATGCTACTGGGCTAATGCTACTAGGCTAATGCTACTGGGCTAATGCTGCAGGGCTAATGCTGCAGGGCTAATGCTGCAGGGCTAATGCTACTGGGCTAATAATGCTAGGCTAATGCTACTGGGCTAATGCTGCAGGGCTAATGCTACTAGGCTAATGCCAGTTGTTTTGGTGCTTTCTCCGGCGTCAGAGCCTGCGCTAGCTGTAGCCAATCAGCGCCAGGTCAACCCATGGATCTATGATAATAACTGGATAGGGTATTACTAGCTTATAGCTGTCCCACCCATGGGCACAGGGGGCGCTGTGGTACTGCAAACTTAATTCACGTGGACGGGGGGGGGGGGGGGGGGGGGGGGGGGGGGTTGTCTGTGAGTGTGTGGGTCAAATGCCAGCTCTGGGTCAGACTCTGTTGTTTGTGTGAGGCCCTGTTTATACAGAGACGCTGCAGTAAAACGCTGTAGTTGGTGCCGGTGTTGCTACGGAGACTGTTTATACGGAGACTGATCCAAACGTTCAGATCGAGCCTCAGAGTGGCACAGCTCAGATGCTCAGCAGGGGGCGCTCTTTCACACCTGCGTGAAGGAAAAGGTATGAATTATCTTCCTGATCTGACCCCACCTCCCGCTGCGC